CGCTGCTGGACTAGAAGCTGGCCTGGGGGAGGCGGTGAGTGTGGTGGCTCAGTCGCTGCTGGGCATGGTGCAGACTGACTCATCAGCACTGAACATTTAGGCTACACTAGATAGTAAAACTGTTTTCCTTTCTTCAATAATAAATTAACCTTAGTTTTCTGTGACTTTTTAACCTTATGAACTATAAGTTTTTAAACTTTTTGACTCTTATAATACTTAGCTTAAAACACACGTACAGCTGTACAAAAATTTTTCCTCATCTAGAGCCTTATTTTATAAGCTTTATTTTAAAAATATTTCTTTTATTTTTTACTTCGCAGACTTTTTGTTAAACATTTAGGTGCAAACACAAGCATGAGCCTGGCCCTACAGGGTCAGGGCCATCAGTGTCCCTGTCCCCACCTGCACATCTGGTCCCCCGAAGGCCTTTGGGGGTAACACGCAGAGCTGCCCGGTCACAGCGCCTTCTCTGGGCCCCTCCTGCACCACCAGCCTGAGGCTTCTCGGCACCTGCCCTTTTTCTTTTCATAAGTAGAAAGTGCACACTCTGAGATGACGATCACAAGTATGGTATAATAAAGACACGAATGAGTGACACCGCCATTGGTTGTCACCGTCCACTGTTATGTACTGTGCTCAGCTGTATGTGCTGGACTTAAGCACTGGAGGTGTAGAGGGCGTGTTTACACCAGTGCCACCACACACACACAAGTAACACATTGGGCTAACTCACTGCAACAGCTGTGGACGTCACTAGACAACAGCAGTTTTCTAGATCCGTTGCAATCACAAGGGATCCCCGTCATATCTGCAGTTGGTAGAGGACAGGAGGGTCATTGTGTGGCGCACAGCTGTGCAGCTTGACCTTCTCATACTCCAGTACCTTAATACCCATCTCTCTACCTTGGACTTCAAGCAGCCCTTTTGCCTCAGAGCTGAGTTTCACAGATCTTGTGAATGTCGGTATCGTTATTCACCACCAAAGAGCACATTTGCCAATATCACCACTGACACCATCAGAGAAGTCTTCAGGTCTCCTGTTATGCTCAGAGTGGTGTATTCACATTTTTGAATTTTTTCTTTCTTTCTTTTTTTTTTTTTTGCCTCTGCCCTCAGGGGCTTCCATTTTAATTACAACAGGTTTATGGAAAATGAATTGTTCCATAATAAACACAATGATTTGCACCGACAGGAGATTATAATAGCCAGGGACAAACAACAAAGCAGGGCAAGGGCCTGGGTGCTGTGGTTCCCGGTGTAATCCCAGCCCTCTAGGAGGCCGAGGCAGGAGGATTGCCTGAGCCCAGGAGTTTGAGACCAGCCTGAGCAAAAGCCAGACTCCAATCTCTACTGAGATTGAGCAAAAGCCAGACTTCCATCTCTACTAAAAATAGAGCCTGGCCTTGTGGCAGGCGCCTGTAGTCCCAGCTAGTTGGATTGCTGAGGCAAGAGGATCACTTGAGCCCAAGAGTTTGAGGTTGCTGTGAGGTATGATGCCACAGCACTCTAGCGTGGGTGACAGGAGTGAGACTCTTGTCTCAAAACAAAACAAAACAAAAGGCAGGGTTAGGGGATAAAAAGAAAGAGGACTGGAGTGAAAGGGAAGGCTCTTGTAGATAAGTGGGTCAGAGGGGACATGTCTTGAGCCAAGACCTGAATAAATTGAGGGAGTAAGTCCTTCGAATTTTTATAAAAGGAGAATTCCAGGAAGAGGCAGCAAGAGCAAAGGCCCGAGCAGGCGCGCGCTTGGTGGGTTTAAAGAACAGTGTGTCCTTACACCCGCGTGTTGCTGCTTGTCATTGCGTGTTGCTGGAAAGAAGCATCAGTGGTCCAGTGACTGAGCTGGGCGCGGCCGCTCCCAGGGCCACGGTCTCCTGCGCTCTGGGTCACCCCAGTGGGCTGCAGCGCTACTCAACTTGGAAGCCTCTTCTCAGGGCGTCTCAGGGACCCACGCTGCGCAGAACGCTGGAAAATGTGCCCTTGAATTTTTTCTTGAAAGCTCAGATTTTATCATTGGGAACAGATCCTGCAGGGGACTTCCTTACAGTGACAGGCTCACATGGTTCCTTTTGAGAAAATGCCTGCCAGAGAGCCACTTCTGAAAAACAGTCATTCTCTCAAAATAAAGTGGCCAGTTTAGCTTGAAACTCAAACAACCAAACAGCTCTTTTCCCTGAGACAACCATCCTGCCTTGGGAAGCTGCAGAGACCAGCTGTGTAATTACCGGAGCCCAGTGCAGGCTGAAAACGTGGGGCCCCTTGCTGCAAAACGATTAGGAATTTCCTGGTGGTTCTAGCATGGGCCTCCCAAGCACAGGCCTCCCAAGCACGGGGCCTTGAGGCTGTGCAGGCACCCCCAGGAAGCGGCTTTGCCTGTCTCACCACCAAGACGTAACAAAATTGGTAACTCCTACTGCTTTAGCAAGGGCATCCTGAAGGCAACTGGCGTCTTTCTTGTCTGCTCTGTGGCTGTGCCGACTCACACAGGGATGGTGAGCACAGCTGAGCACCCTGCCTTGGCTCCTGCTCGGACACCTGTGGTTTAACTCCCTCAGGATTCTGCAGCACCTGTGTGCTTCCCATAATGAGTGGGGTGGAGGAATAGCACCACACCCCTGCAGGGGGACCATGCCCAACTCTCCAACACCCTGAGGGTGTCGGGGACCCTGAGGGCTCTGAGGGCCACACTGGGATCGCTAGCAGGGCAGGTTTGCTGTATCCTATCCAGAAACAGAGGGCCGTGAAAGATGGCTGTGGGTCAGGCAGGAAGCCCCCAAACCTGCTAGATGCAGGGAAGGAATTTGGGGACAAGAGAAAAACAAGGACATTGAGTCTGAGCGAGGATGGGGGCGTAAGGAGGAAATGCAGAGTCCGAGAAGCAGAGGGGACAAGGAAGCCTGGAGAGGCTGGAGGGCTCAGGGAGCCGGTGCCCACTGAGCACCCGCCAAGGCCAGGCTGAGCTCCCACGCTCACCCAAACAGGGCTCAGCGTCCCTAATCCTGGGCAAACAGGGCGGCTTTCATGCCAGCTCCCAAACGTGTGAGGGGCTGTGCGTCTGCATCCTCCACAGCCCCTTCTCTGTGCTGGGCAAGGTAGAGAGCCCCTGGCTGCAGAGCCCAGGCCTCCC